TCCTTAAGGAAGTACCAGAGCAGAGGCTATCTCCATGATGAGGGCAGCTGTGCCTTTCCTTCAGCACTTACAGTAACCCAAGAGGCCAGCAACATGGCTGCCAACCTCATGTTTGCTTCTGAAGCCATTGTCTTGAAAAGCCAGGTCATCCTCCTGTGCAGGGCGGACCCCTTGTCACCCTCCTCAGTCATATCTCACTTTCTTAGTACTCTTCTATAATACATAGGTGTTAATTTTATAATAGATCATTAAAATGCATTTCCTCAATAGAATATAAGCTCTGCCAGGAGAATACATACTTCCTTGCTATAATTTTAACTGTATGATAACAGAGATTTTTATGTGTTTTATTTATTGCTATAGCCTCAAGGCCTAGAATAGTGTCTGATACATGGGACTACTTAATAAATATTTATAAAATGAATGATTAAAAGAAACTATTTTACAAAAAGAAGTTACTTGGAATGATTTCTATGGGTAGGTCACATATTTACTTTAAAAACATATAGACATAAGAATTTAATAAAATTATAGGAGTGTATTCTGAGTGAAAAGTACAGTGACCATCTGCAATAAATCAAATATTCATTATAAAATTAAGAGCACTTAAGTAATATGCTTAAGCTAAATTTTTACAATATTCACCAATGGATAAGATAATGGGCAGTTCAATTATAAAAAATTTTCAGAATGCTATGATATTAGAGAACTTTATTATATCTGGCAACTGCTATGGTCATGGGGGAAGGTGCACTTATTTCTACTTCCTGTGTATCTATCAACGTGGTAAGAATGCATGGAGCTCTTCAGGGGAGCCTCTTTTCGGTCACCATCCTGTCTCCTCTTGGTTCTCACAGCCATGCTGCAAGATGAAGTTAACACGGGGCCCGCATCCCCACTGGGATCATCAGAAATACCTTGTGGCATCATAGACCATCATCTGGTAGAACATCTGGTACTGAGTGCAGCCTGGAGAAATGTACAGATGTGGTGGCCAGCAAACTCACATGGCAATTGCTTCAATTATTTAACCACATATGGATAGAGTGCTTCGTGCTGGTTTTCAGAATGTATTACTTGAACACCTATGTGCATAGAAAGAGGGTGGTAGCCTCATGCATGCTGTGATAACCACTGAAGCATAGCACTCTTAGTCACAGAGGAAAAGATATTATCATGTGCTATACTCATCTGATTAGTAGTACATGTCAATTACATTGGTGTTTTGCCTGAAAGTCAGGATGAATTTTATGCTTGCTATGGAGTGGCAGGCATATTTTCCCTTGGGTGACCACAGGAAAAGTGCCAAGAAGTGCATTTTGATTAGTATTCTCCATCCATGGATTTGTTTTTCCAAAGCTTTCATTTCTTTTAGTAAACTGGTATGTAAAAACCTTGCAAACACCAAGACTTTCTAAAAAGTTCATTGGCTGATTCCATGAAGAGTGATGGCAGGTGTTGGAACAGATGTAATTACACTTGAATTTTATATAAATGATATCTTACGTAAGTGTTTTTGCAGCATTATTATTTAAAGCATTATTATGCTTTAAAAAGTTACAGATAATATTTATTTGCTGATTTGATTTATAACTAAGGTATTTCCTCAGTGTATAAATTTGCAATCAGAAGAATATTTTTTAAAAAAACTTTAAAACATTTTTAAAGTAAGAATTTAAAAATGCTTGTAAAGAAATCTGAGCACAGAATCCTTCAAGATTTTTATAATCCCCATATCCTCCTCAGGACAAAATATTCTTGTCTTCAATAGATCTTATTCCAAATTAAAATTTTTAGCAATTCATGTTTATGAAGTCTTTGCAGGACACTCTATTAGTGTTTTATAGAAACAGCAAGAGTTTTGCTATATATTTTTTTCAAATTTATATAATGTTTAATTATATTTTGAAATTATTATTCAAGCACAACAGACATATACAGGCTTGAAAACTATCATATATGGCTCCGACACTCAATTAGTAGGGGCAGAAATGTAGGTGCATCTTAAAATAACCTATTAAAATGTAGTCATCGGTTAATATGTTTTTTGTTTTGTTTTGTTTTTGGTTAATATGTTTTATAGAAGGAATAGAGAGCATTAGGCAAGACTGCCAATTTGCTAGGATAGTCTCTAAGAAAATAAACATTTGAGTAAAATAATGTTTCTTTTGGAACATTTTGTCCATAGAAGAAATAATTTCTATATTGGTAAAAGCTAGGAGTAATTTGAAAATATCTCCAGTCTCTCTAAAAAGACTCTAGAATCAAAATCAATACTGAAATGTGTATAAAGCCATAGTGCTTTGTCAGATTGCTACAAGATACAATGATGTACCTTCAAAACAATAAAAATATTGGCAACTTCAGAGGCAGTGCCGATGCAAAAGCAAGACAAATTGCAAGGTAATTTACACTGGTAGGACAATGTTCCTTTTAAGAGAACAAAATAGAACACATGTGTTATAGCAGTTCTATTTCCAGCACACGGGACACTGCCTTGCACAGAGAAGGCCCCAAATAAAATGCCAGGATGAGTGTACTAAAGAGCATTACCGTGATGTCAAAGTAAAGCTGTCCCTTATACACTAGATAGGCCATTGCCTGACACTGATTCTAATGAAGATCATAAGAGACATGCATTGCACTCCTGTAAACAGCTTATTGCCCTGACCAAATGCCTAGAAATGAAACAGAGGTGAATTAATAGCAGAGATATGTTTAGGACATCCATCCTGTTCAATGGTTATCTGACTGAGATAGGGTTGTTTGTTTGTTTGCATTTAAAGAGTCATCTATGGGAGCCTCTGATAACATGCTCAGCAATACCTTTTAAAACAATAGGGAACAGCTATAAGGTTTATCCATGAATATTATGGTGACTAGTTTCTCAATTATTTTGTTTTCCTCACTCCTGGTTTCTATAATTCAGATAAATGAGATGGTCAGTGTGTTTTGTACAAAAATATTAGTGGCTTATGTTGTTTCAGAAGTGGCCAGTCTGTTGGTACTTCACTCAGTTTAAGGTTTCTTAGGTTAGGGAAATGGAAGTGAAATCTTGGCATCACTTAATCTTAGGGAACTATGGTTTAATAGTGGAGAAATTTCAGAAACCCTCCTTGGCTTGGTGTCAGGGTGAAATCTTGTCTTAATGGATATCACTGCATAAGCCTTCTTGCATATAAGCAAATTTGGTCAGCTGAGTGGGGACTAATTTGTTTTATATGCTCCTTTCAACATCCTTAAACCTTTTCATCTTCAACTCGGCTGATCTTCATGAGCTTACCATGTTAGATAAACAGACCTGCTAGATGTGCAGTAACCTTTAATTAATAATATACCTTGTTTATCACTCAAGGATCAGTCGGGAAAACAGAAACCTCTCTAAATTTTATAAAGAAGTACTTTAACATGAAGGATTGCTAACACAGGCTGAAAAGCAGTCCAGAGATTAGCAACAGCAAAAAGTCACTACAATCTCTAGGACTGGAGGGCAATGGGAAGAAATGGCATTATCAGAATGCAGAAGCTGATTGATGGATGACTGCAGGGCTGGAAGTGGGAGGGAATCTGATAGGAGGTAGAACTAGAGAGGTAGAAACATATGATTTAGTGGCAAGAAAGAATTTAGCCATGGCAGAGACACTGAAGGAAGGGAGTAGGGATGTGTAGGAGTGGGGATAGTTTGACTCCTCTCATATTCTCATGGTTAAGACAATCTTGTAAGTCTTGGAGTCTCAGAAGGACTCAGGAGCTTTGCAAATATATTCAATGTGGTAAAGAAAAGAAAGAAAGGACAGGTAATGATTGGTACACTTGCATTTTAGTGGTTTTCAAATAAGGTGGAGAACCCAAGTGCATAAAAGATAATACTTTGGGTCACAGGAAGTAATATTGTTGCGGCATACTCAGACAGAAAGATGGGACACCAAGACTCGGGAAGCAACGTTTATTGATGCCAGCACCAGCTCAGTGGATTCACATTCAGAGGCTGAGCCCGGATCCCGACAGGACTCAGAGCTATATACCCTGAGGTTTCTGGGTTAGCAGCTAGGATTCCTTATTAGGACATGTGTCATTGTGTTAGTTTCTGACTGGCTCCCTGGTGAGGTAGGAATTAGGAAATGTTAAACACGGGAGTCTTGGTGACCATGTGGTCTGGGAAAGCCTTTGTCTAGGGCCCTCTGCTATCTAAGAAAAGAAAAAAAAATTAAACCTTACTGTTATTTAATATTTGGATTGGCCCTGACACTATCAGTTTCTACTTCAAATGGGCACTTATCTTTACATAATGTGATAAATGAGTGTAAGGCAAGCAGGACTCCCAGAGCAGGTTGATGTGGGGTGAGCAGGCTTACTCCTTTAGCATACTGCACCATTATTCAGGGTGTTTCACCAGAGTACGTGGACTTACGAGTTGTAAGAGCTAATTTTGACTACACATACCCACACATAGTGGACGTTGAATTATAAAGATCAACAATAATACTAATAATGCAAGCACAGGTAGATTATAGGAAGTGGCAGAGGTACTAAAAGCCTTTACCAGCCATTTTACAGGGTAAACAATGGTGATTTATCAGAATAAATAAGAAATTTGCCAAAAACTTCTAAATTATATGTGACATGAAATATATATGTACTTTAATTATTCATAAAAATAAATTTTGCCCCAAGTATGTCAATTACCTTGCAAATTATAAAATTATGGCATTATAAAGACAAAATATCATAACCCTTATATTTTTATTGTATAAAAATTATAATCCCCTATTTTTTTTAGAATTTCATTTCTGATAATCACATATATGCTGTAATACTGTTGCCGGGTTAAGATCCACTGCATGACGCTCGTGAACCCATAATTGAGAGACAAGTTTGGTGGAAAGAAAACCAGGTTTATTCAGAATGCTGGCATTCCTGGAGGTTTGTGGACTCCTGTCCACAGGCCATCTCCTCATTCCTAGAACAGTCAGAAGGTTTCATAGGTACACAAGAAGAAGCAGAACATAGGAAAGGGGGTGGTTAGTCATGCCACTCGTCTGGGAGAACGCTTCCTGGGGTCTGGTTTGTTCCGTGATGGTTATCTCAAACCTGGTCTTATGGGTGATTCGTATGTCATCTGACAGAAAACTGCAGTCCAAAATTGCAGCCTGGTTGCTGGTGTCCAGATGGCTAAGGGCTGACTCAGTGTCTTGCAAGTTAGTGTTCTGCCGATTGACTCGAATAACGAGGTATGCATGTAGCCTGGGGAAAGCAGAGCAATTGAATCAGGTAGTGAGGGAGAGAAACAAAGAAGAAGAAGAAAAGTAAACTACAAAAATCAAACTATAATTCAGTAAACCAAGCTAGATTGCTAAATCCTTAAAAGTATATAGTCACCCTTACATACTGGCTAATAAGTCCTAATTGGAGGGAGAGATTGTGAGCCTATATTTAACAGCATTTGTGAAAAGTGATTTTTTTTCTTATGATAAAGTTAAGTCACTCAGAATTTCACTTTTAAATTGTTGTGAAATTTTTCAGCTTTTATGATGAAACTGAAGGCTGATTTATTTCAAGATATTTGATTTAAAAGAAAACTCATATTTCAGAACAAATTAGAATAAAAATTTCTATAAGTAAGTAAATAAATAAATGCAGACCAACCTTTCAAATAAGAACTCAGTTTCAGATTTGCACTTATATTGTGTCTCATATCCCACCAGGATATTTTCTATGTTCATTTAAATGCCTTTTGGTGTTATTTAATAAGGATTTTGTACACACACTTGGGGGACTTCAAAGTTTAGTTATTTGCCGTGAACTTGTAACTGTCAGTCTCCAAGCCCAATTAATCAGCAATGTAAAATTTTATTGGTTCTTGGGTCAATGTCAGAAACAGTGAAGAGTGAGATTTTTGTCCTACTTGCAACCTAAAAACTTGTTCTACCAAAATTTTCTAGATACTGGCAATAGACACGAGGCTCCATGGTTCAGAGAAAAAGGACTTCATTTTTTAAGGTACAGAGTCATATTCACATCAGTTTCCCATTGCTCCTCAAGACCCCCTGGGGCAATTCTGAGTCCAGGGAGAGGTTGCATATTCAGTAGGCTTGTGTCACAGCTGAAGAATCCCCAATCTTTTATAACAGACAATAACCAAAACTGCTTGAACTTTGGCCTGGAAGTACACATTATCTTTCTTATACTGGCCATCAACAAACCTGCCTTCTACTCCAGAAACACTATCTCCATCTTCCAAGGTGATTCACTATAAAACTGTTCTTGAAAAGGCAGTCAATTCCTCTGCTCATACAATGTGCAAATCATGGAAGATCCAGGGAAAATTATCTCCCCAACACTCAGTAGCCCATATCTATAAGTACCGAATTTTAGGGGGTGGAGAAAGTGAGAGCAAAAGGGTTATTAATTCGTTTTGTGTCTCCTTTTGTTTAAAGTATTCTTAAAATTCAATTTCCTAAAATTAAGTATGTGTTATTAATCATAGTAACAGTAGTACATGCACTTAGTTTAAAAATAAGTATACATACACATGTTAGAGATGTTTCACTCTGCAAAACATTTTACTAATAGAACTATAAGATTGATAAAAGTTTGGAGATACCTATTATTTTAACCAACTATTAGGTTGTAAAGCAATTCAGAAGAAAATGACTAAGGCCCCCATCAATAGCAAGGACAGTGAATCAGGAACCCAGGCTTTGGCATTAAGTAAATCTGGGTCCCATTCCCAGTTCTCCTCTGTAACAAAGGCAGACAAACTAATTTCTCTATGCCTCAGTTATCCTAATTTCTGCAAAAATATAATAATTTTTTAAATGAAAGCCATCTGCTACTGCTGTTAAAACAAGGTATAAAATTAGTGTCTTTAAAGGTATAACAAAAGTTGCAATTGTAGACAGAAAATAAAAGTATTAGAAAAAGATTAGTTGCAATTTTAGTCTTAATTTTATCTAAATACTAATTTAATTAAAAGAAAGAAACACTAGAGGTCACACACTCTGATATGTTTGTGATTTCTAAAAGTAGCAAAAAATAAATTCTAAAAATGACAAAGGGGAAATATAAATTTCTTGAAATATATGACATAAATTTTTAAAAGTTTAAACATAATAGAAGAATATTTTAATTAAAATGATATTTCATGGCTAAATGTTGTGAGTATAACCCAAAATATTAAATAAATATTTAATGAACTTCCAAGTTATCAAAAATGTAACTATAAAAGATTGAGCAGAAACCATTTTTTCCACTTTCATTAAAGGAAAGCTTCTTTGAGCAAGACTGATGAATTGCTTTCTTTTGCCTTATCTTTATTACTCTCCTCTCCAAACAAGAATTTTCATGACACTTTTTTTTCATCTTTAATTTCTAGTTTCTGATTGTCAGTCTCATATGCCTCATGCTTATGACATCACAAATCTCTTCCCATGGAAATAGCATCTTGTGATGTCTTAATTAAATTCACTGTGAGGTTTGAATATTTCAAGAATAATCATCCTAGAAGCCCATCTAAATACAAGTGAAAATAAAATATATTGTACATAAATGAATGGATTACAGACAGAAATAAGAGAGAACATTAAAAGGGCAGATAATACTGTCACTTTTCTGATGATTAGTGATGTAGAATATTTCTTGTGCCGGGATCGTAGTCTTGTGAAGCCGAAGAATTGAGACACAGACCAGAGAGGTCAAGTTTACAGCAGAGGATAGTTTTATTAGAGCAGAAAGTAACAACTTTCAAAACGAGAAGGGCTCCTGACTGGGGTGCCCGTGTTAGGTGAGGAACTACTCCTTTAATCCATATTGTTTTGTATACCTGGGGAGGAATTTAGTCTGGAGGAAGCGTTTTCTAGAAACTGTCTAGTTGCCTCAGAGTACAATGGATGTCTCTGTTTTGATAGGATTATGCTAGCTCAAGGCTGGGGCTTTGAAGATATCATTGTCTGCTGATCATCCTATCAGGGAGTTCCTGACTGTCTTACATTGTTAATTAACCTGTCTTAATCCTCCTCTCTGGAAGTGAAACTTAACTTCTGACTTTTTTGTTATAGGCTTTGAAAAAAACCATCTCCTCCTCCCCATCCCAAGTTTGTCATTCTGGTGGGGTCTTGTGACTTAAACCTATCAGTCAGCTATTAAAATTATTTCTCCTGGCTTTTGTTGTGGTTTTCACCCTGATTCCTTCTACTGTGGCCATTTCCCTTACTGCCTATAATTTTCTATCTCATTAGTATTATTGCAACCACATTTATTTAACATTTCATATGAACAAATGCATTAAATATTACCATGTCACCTCTGGCCCCAATGAACATATATTCCACTTATATAAATTCTTAATTCACTAAGGTTCTTAAGACTTGGTTTTGAAAACATCAATTACTAGATTTCTTTTGGAAAACCTGTACAGGAGTAGTTTTCTTTTGCAATGGGAGATATAATAAGCATTACATAAAAGTTTTGTCAGTTCACTTGGTGAAATTTATTTATGCATGATAGATCATTTATAAGCTTTGTGTTTTTAAGGTAAATATACTAGTTATAACCAGAAAGACAAATAGTGGTTCCCTTCAGCAAAGTCATCATTAAAACCACTATGGGCCAAGCTGTCTAAGACTATTTAGATAAGGGACTAAAATTTTTTTAAACATTTATTTTCACTTGATTTGTTTTTTAAATACCCCCTTTTTTAAATTATAAGTAAAATGAGCCTTCTCTAAAATGGTTGTTTACTGAAGTGCCTTTTTTTTTTTTCCAAATTTAGAGTTCCAGGAAGTTCTGAGACCTGAAATATAGTCATTCATTTTGCTGCTCTTTTATTAAGCCTCAGCTCTCTGTATCTGTGTATAATCTAAAAGGCTCCAGATCTAAAGATAATCAAGATCACATGACTGAAGAATGGGCCAATTGTATGCAGATCCAGGATCCGTCAGTTGGAAAGCTAATGCCCTCCTTGTTGAAAGCATATAATCATTTTGAAGTATCTTCTTTGTTTTTTGTTTTTTTAAGAGAATGTCAAAAAAACAGAGTCTAATTTTATGTGCTTGGGAGTAGCTATCTGAGCTTCAGGCAATACAAACGCTGCTATTACTGGGGAGTAAAAACTCTGCATAATTAACAAACATCATCAGCCTTACAGTTCCTGCAGAATGCGGTAAGTTCCTTGCCTGAAGGCTGCTCTCATCCTACTAAGTCTGTTTACCCTGTCCAAGATTAGATTAGTTTAATTATTATGAAAAAGACTGCTAAGATCTTACAGCCTAATTATGCAAATGTTTCTAAACGTTCACAAAAGTAATTTATTTATTTGGAGATAAATGAATCTATTTTGTCATAAAACAGATTGCAGTCCTGGCAATGTACAAGCAAGGTTATGTGGCCTTGGGCAAATCCTTCACCACAAATATCAGTGGGATCCCTAGATTACAACATTTAAAAATACATAAATGTTTTTAGCAGGTTTTTATTGTTTTTGTAAATTATAGTAATCCCAGAAAGAACTATCACAGGTTTAATACTCACCAACCTTGTTATGAAAACATGGTTTCTCAGCAGAAGCATTTAAAAGATGCTAAGAGCTAAAACATTCCTGGTAGACTTATTAAGGTACACCTGTTTTATTATGCTTAGAGTAGATATCTTCACAATATTGTTGTTTCCCTCTTCATTGTAATATCACAGTTCAAGTAACTCTTTAAAGAAAATACTGGAAACAGATAGTAGAATATATGTATAGATCATATTACCTACATTAATTTTACCTGTAAAAATAGTGTTGCATTTTAGCTCTTTCACTGCGTTGATTTCAATTTTTTTTCAAAATGTGTCAGAAATAAAAAAAAACCAAAAAGTTGATATTGCGACTATTTTATGCATTTAATAACAACAATTTGAGCTGCTTTGTATAAAAATGACATTATTTTTATGTATAAAAATTTCAGATATATTCATTCGGATATATCTGACCATCGTGGCAAAAGGGTTAAGTAAGTTAACCAATGCCTGTATCAGAAAATGATTTCTAAAACAATCATTTTTACATAACAATCCTTTCATATACAGTCATGATGCCACATAATGATATTTTGGTCAACATTAGACCCTGTATGCAATGGTGGCCCCATAGAGTATAAGGGAGCTGAAAAATTCCTGTTGCCTAGTGACATCATAGTTGTCATAATGTTGTAATGTAATACATTACTCATGTGTTCGTGGTGATGTTAGGTGTTTTGTGAGCT